TGTATTACTGTTGTTATTAACTTGTACTTATCTCAATCCACAAGTCTTCCCTTTTGCCCTGTAATTCTCTTACCCACTTCCCCAGGGGTTGGGGAGGGTGAGCGAGCAGCTGTGTGGCATTTAGTTGACAGCTAGGTTAAAGCAAAACAACCTGAATTTGGCAGCAAAAAATTTATTTCTAATACTTCAGTCTCTAGACTGATAGTGGCCTTGATTTTCACTAAAGCAAGCAACTGAGTATTTGGTATACTTTGGCAAGAAATATCTTAATCGAATGCAAAAATATTTGTTATTCTTGTAGGGAATCATTGCTAAGACTCATCTGATTGGTAATTTCAAAATGGCAAAACACTGCCAAAATAATGTTGTAGATACTTCATCCTTTTCTTTCCCTTCTTTCGAGTCTAATTTGCAGCAGCATTAGTTTACAAGTGAAGAGCAGAACAATTATTCTATTATAATAGAATAATTCTGTTAGAATAATTATGTTCAATTACACACTTTTTTCATCGGCTATCAGGTAAGAGTTGAAACCAACAAGTACCAAGTATTTGACAGGAGGGAGAGGAGCAATCTTTTTTTTTCCCCATCCTAACTCCCAACGGTAAGTTTTCGCTCACCTCCTTTAGTCAGTCATTAATCTTGCACAATACGGTAAACACCACTACAGGCTTACCAGGTCTCACACGCGTTAAACTAAGATGAGTCAATAGCTTATGAAAACAGAAGTACTCATTACCACTCTCACATTGGCAATATATTTTTGGAGGAGAAAAAGAATGATCCATTAATAACTCCAGCCAGTTGTTATAGACAAAAGGTTACAGAGGCAAAGATGTCATTACTCTGGGCTTCTAAGAATAGTTTAACTAACTCAACAGAATGACTGTTAAAACCAAAGCATACAGGGAGGACAAAGCTTAAAACAAAACAAAGACCAAACGCAAGATCACCATCATCGTTCAATCTGCGGTCTTACTCCTTTCCAAGGATTATGCATTTCTAACAGACATCTAAAGGTGGCAGCAACTGTTTATTCTTATAGGCCCAGAATTAATCTTTGAAGACCTTCAAATGCTTTATCACAGGGTTCTATCCAGAAATGAGAGTCAAATTTATCCTCAGTGTCAGCATAACGTTATGTCAAGAATTAAGTTTTTCTAACAAACGCAATCTGTAGATGACAAAATTTCTGCACACCATGCATCTCCAATTTTGCTTTTACATCATCAACGTAAAAAACAATACACTGTGATTCACTTGACCACCAAATAACAATTAACATAACACAAATTAGACATATTCCAGTATCAGAACCCTTATGTTAGAAAGACACAAAAGTTGAAAGTATTTCCTTCTTCAGTCAAAAAATCCTCTACCCCCGAAAGTCTGCCTTTCCTTACCTTTCCAAAATAATATCCAATATGCATATAAGCTATGGAGAGAGCTCTACTAAACAAAAGACTAACTTGAAGTATTTAGTACAAGATATTAGTGGGAGGAATCTTGTTACAGTCTTCCCAAATTTGAATTTGTTCTTTGTTCTCAGAATTAGCACCCACATCTTTGATCAGTTCTCATGACTGCTGTAATTACTAATGTTATTAATCAAGTTACAGAAAACAGTCTAGCCTATTTAACTCCACAGACTATATCCTTACATGATACTCAAACAAAAATAAAGTAAAAATGGTTCTAGAGAAAAAAAATCAGGGGCAGGGCTCTGGCCCATAGGGGGAAGAGTGTGCGAGTCGGGGGATGTGGGGGGGGGGGGGGGTAAAAGGAGGAAGGCAATGAAGAGGGTCTGCAGTTCCACAGGGACACCCGTATTTACTTACAGCTAAGCTCTTAAGCGCTTCCCTTCCTGCAGAAACAGAAACAGCATGAATTTCACTTTCTTCACTCCTGTCCTTGAGGAAGGAATAAGGCTCAATAAGATAAGTAAGCTTGTAAACAAGCCCTTCAAGTTCTTTCATCTTCAGTTCCACTTGAGAGGAAGTGTTCTTTGGTGGTGTGGTTTTCATTGTTTTTGAAAACATGCATTAGTTACAAGATAGACATTACGTATATGATGTGCACATCTGTATTATTAAATAAGCATGTACATGCATGTGTGTATATATTGTAATAATGTATTAGGGTATTAGAATAACATTGTAGAGTACTAGGACTTAAACTGACTAACCATCCAAAAAGAACATTACATCGCACATTTCCCAGAAAGTTCAAAAGGCTAAACCACAAAGGCTACCTTGGTAGAGAGGATGAAGTGACATGCTTTATCCATAATCTGATTGCACTAAGGTTTAAGAATTATTTGAATATACTTCTTTGGCTAATTTGCAGAAAAAATACAAAACCACAATAAAAAAAATTGCAAGCTGCAAATTCTAAACTGAATTTAATTAATGTCAAGATACATCCTCAGGTATATGCTCTTTGGTTTGCTTGGCTACATTCGGACCTCACTTTCCAGTCAGGATGTATTTGAGATCGACATCACTTTTCACTGTATTTTCCATAAAAACCTCTGATACTGCAGGTTTCAGACTAAGTGAGCTTTAATATATAGTTGGCTCATCTTTGGGCTTCAAACGAGGACTGCAGGTGTCTCCCCAGAGTCTAAGCCAGTCAACTACCAACTCACAGAACAGCTTCTAAAGCCAATGAATGGTGCTGCTTCTGGTCGCTTAACAACTACTGCATTTGCCTCAAAGTAACAGATCAACTAACATAATCCAGGGACTGAACTAACTTCCCAGTATTACATATTGCTAAGGAGGCCCGCCTTTAAATGGGAGATATATCAAAGTTGCTATGATAATTGTTCGTTTATTTTTAATCAATGAAGGAAGTTTGTCTCAACTAGATAAGTGCATTGTAATACATTTACATATAAAATCAAGTAAAAGCTTTTGAAGATGATGAAAAGAAGATTAATGAAATATATTCCCCATGTATGTTAGAATATTAGGAAAGATGCTGAGCAACAGAGCAAAACCAACAATGTTTCCACAACTCAAAAAAAAAATTCACCTTATTTTTTCATAACTCATTATTATTTTCAAGAAATATCAACATGGGTGCTAGAATGATACTTTTGGAACTGAGTAAGAATTTATCCGTATGCATGAACACACCAATAAAGTTTATAATTGTAGTACAGATAGAGTAATACTGTAGAAAACCTAGCATTGCATTAAGAATATCAATCTGAACATTTAAAGGAACAACAGACGTTTAAACAGGCTATTTCATCTTACATATTACAAGGCAATTTCTAATTATATGATTGCATTGCCTTTTAAAATAGTTGATACAGCTTATTTGCTAATGAGGACTTCCCCTCTTGCCCCTGCCCCTCAATTTTTGGTAGACATCCTGTTGCTCAATGAGGCGGAAACATGGAAGGTCACTGGAATTTAGGATCAGCTATTACTTGGTTTACAGTTATCATATGTTCTGTCAAATTTAAAACTTATACACAGGGAGTTCGTAAGCCAGAGTGAGAAAAAGCTGACAATATGAAGAACAGCAGAAGCACAGTACCTATGTGGAGATGTATTAGTCCCTGGCCCTGTACTGCATCCACAGTCTGTACGCACACAAACTGTGTCTGTGCACATTCAGAACGACAGGGAAGGAACATGGAAACACTCATCATCTGATATGGGAGGACAGCTGAATAAGCCCATTTTAGCTCTGAAGTTGTAATATAGAGAATGCAGGCATGCTTCATGGGACACAGTGGGGTCTAGTATGTGTTAAAAAAGTAAAAGTCAAGCAGAAGTTTATCAATCCCAGTGGCAATTTTTTTCTTCACTGTGATGACGCTTGTTTGAGGTAAAGGTTAATATTTGACTCAATTTTGGACAGGTCAAGCTTAAAAGAATAAAATAATTTCAGAGGCTGTAACATGCTGGATTATTAACACAGATTTATTAGCAGGAAGGACGGAAGTGAGCATCATTAGCAAACAGATGACAAAGGCTTGATATGAGGTTTCTTCCATATGAAATGGAAAAAATTGTAGAGAATATCTTCTCCCATCAGTGCAAAAACTGCTCCTCCCTCCTCCTCAACACATCAAAAAGAAAACAAAGGAAATTGTATTAACATGGAAGGGGAAAAAAAGAGAGAGGAAGTTTACAAGAAAGTTTTGTGCCTTTTTTCTTAGTTTGAGAAGACACTAAAAGAAAAGGATGATTGACAGAATAGTTCTGACTTATGACAGCAAAGTTAGCGGTAACCTCAGTGTTAGCAGCTAAAATGGAAATAATCTCCAGTTCGGTGGTGTAAGAGCTTGGGAGGTGTAAGAGCTTTTAAAAGTGTTCTGGTTTAGAGCAGGAAAAAAGGAGACTATTTGCAGAAAATCTAGTCTAAGGGAACAATTAAACTCGTTTATTTTCCTAAAGAACACTTTGTGAAATATGTGAAAATCCTACTCCAAAACTAGTTTTTCTTGCTTGAGACGTGGATTGTAAATACCAATTTCACATATTGAACAGGCTTTTTTTTACCTAACCAGATGTTTTTTAGCCTATTCCTGGAAATTCACCTTAAGATATGTAATTTATGAAAGGCAACAAAACTCTAAACTAACTCATTTCTGTCAAGATCAAAGTAAATGCAAAAAAAAACATGAGAAGTTTAGTAATAACCAATTTTTGACAGACTTGTGAGAGGAAATGGCAATGTAGAACAGGCTTTTACTGGGAAATGTTTCAGGTCACCCAGAAAAGTTTCTGGATGAGCAAAAGTAGAGAGACAAATTGAAATCAAAGTTGCTAATAAGAGGGAGGAGAACACCTCTTCACGAGGTAAGGGATGTTGTCCCTAGAACTGAAGACTAGGAAAGCAAAGATAAGAGAATAATGTGAAGTGATGCTTGATGGAGAAATGCTGAAGCCTAGAAGTTTATTACTATGAAGTTACAATATTCAGCTCCATGATTTCAAAATGTAATTAGGCTGCAAGCTCATTTGAACAGAATAACTCACGTGCAAATCATTTCATGTCCAACCGCACAAGGTACTCCAGCTGTGATTGACTTACCTCCCATAATTTTGGATTGGCAGTTGATAAATTCTGGCTTCTTGTCTGTAAGGTATCGTTGACAAGTGTGATGTAGAACCTGAAAGAATGTGCATTTTTCTGAAGCGGTGTTTGCTACCCATTGGTCAAAAGCATTTTCAAATAGTAAATCAAATTCTGGGGAATCCTAGAAGAAAAAAAAAAACAAACCACACACTACTATTATTACAGTTTTATAAATTATTTGGAAAAAGATATAGAGCTATTATTTTTTAAAAGGTATTATGTTGGAAAAAGCAAAAGGGTCATGTAAATCAAGACCATCCTGGAATCATTTTTCCTTTGCAAATTTTTGGATGCAAACAAAAAAAACCCACCAAAACAGGCAGGAAGTTTTTTTTCTTGCAAGTATTTTCAAATGAGGAATATTCAGCTATGACAGTAATACCTGAAAACAAAAACACTTCAGACCAAAAAAATTAAAAGTTGAAATCAAGAAATCCTTGTTATCTACACATATATAGTTGCTTATATCTTCTATATAATGCAAGGATTTGTGCCTCTGTACAAAATCTACTTTCACACTATATTATAGATGATGTGGTTCTGCTCTTGATGCTCAACTAAAGACAGAAAACAAATAGCAAGTCCTCGTTATTGTATTTAATGTATTATCATAAAACGTTGCTTATGGCTCAGGATAACATGAACAGAAAAGCATTCTCAGAAAAAAAGCAAAGCCCATCTTTATACCGTCTATCAACTGCCAAAATTAATGGATTTTATGCAAGAAGTATTGCTATATGTTTAGCAGTATTTGCTAAATATTATTTTGTAATCTAATCTAGTAAATACTATTTGGAATCAATGACACTAGGAACCACAGGAAGACAAGTTTGAAAAGAACATGTTTAAGCTTAAGAACTTGACAGGACTTTCAATCTGAGAGTATCCCGAGTATCTGCTGCATAGCAGATGTTGGGAAAGGGCCTAAAACTCACATCCCTTATCTATTTGTCATCGTTGTCATTTTAATTGTCTTTATCCAGAGAAAACAGAATTCCACTCCTTGCATTTCATAGGGCAGTGGCCAAAGAGTTTCTTTTTTTGTACAAAAGACTGTACTGGGCAGTTACAGAATTTGGGGGACCATTGCTGAGATGCTTAGGCGGCTGATCAGAGTACAGCTTTGAACAAATCAAGGGGGTTAGTGACAAACGTATCTGGCTGTATAATGAATGCAGTAAGTCACTCTGTGATCACATAGTATGAGCCACATTCCTAATTTCTAATTCTGCTAATTTACTACTAAAGATTTGCATTCATAAGCATATTACATGTTAGTATGACTTTGTCATGAGGCAGCTCAAGGTGGGCTATATATTCCACAGAAAAGGAATTCCAGAACTATTTCATGGAGGGTTTGTTTGGTTTTGTTGTGTTTTGTTTGTTTAAATCAGTGTTTATGTACCACTGGCAACGAAACCACGCCACCATCCTTTGTACAAAAAAAGGCAAGAAACGCAGAAGGATCTAAGAAAAACCACAAAGTTCATAATATTTCACAAACTTGAACCTCAGTAACCTCTCCTGTCCTTACTTCGACTTACTGCTCTATCAACACAGCTGTATGCCAAAATGGACCCCAAGAGGCTTATAGCTGAAGATCAGGCAAACAAGGCTCTTATTTTTCTCTTTACAAAGAAAGTAGGAAGAAAAGTAGGGAAAGACAGGAAGAAAAAACCTCGCATGATTATGAGCTTTGGCTTCCTCTCATCTTTCCCATAAAAATCTATTTCATATATTCTGTTGAGTTAGTTCTTTTTTGAGATTTCCACTTAAACCTGTATCTTATCTTTCCAGACGCCCTTTGAATAGTGAAAGAATGCCTGATTCACAAATCAGTTACAAAAAAGCTCAGTTTTCATTTTCTAGAACTGTTCAAACTCACCCGATTAGGGTCTATACCATTGACCTGGCGAAGCTGCTCGAGCATCCACTGCGTTCTCCTGACAAAAGACGTAGAGCCTTCAAACTGCTTCACCTTCGTAATAGATGCCTGAGCTGGTTTCTTGTTTGTCACTGAACAGACAGAAGAAAAAAAAACACAACTGAAATGGGCTTAATGTTTCAGAAACGTGCCTTTTAGTTTACTGTATCAGTAGCTGGTTTGTTGGTATATTTTCTATAATGTCCCACAAAGTAAATATATGTCATTGATTCTGACAGTAGAACACATTCCCTTTCCTGGACAACATACTGAAAAGCACATTCCTTATTGTCAGAATGATGTTACGATGCTAAACAAGCAGTATACTACTCAAAATTTGATATATTTTAGCCATTATGAGCTTAAGTTGCCAACATCTTGTAAAACCCAGAAGTTTCTCATATCCAGCCTCTTATTAATTTCTTTCTCTTTGTGTCCTTTTAGACAACAGAACACAAAGAAAGAAAAAGGAAAAAAAAAAGGGACACGTCCATGTAAACGTAAGTCCATTTATATACCTTTTAAAAAAAATGGTTACATTAAAATGACTTTCATGTTGGTTGATTGATTGAAAAAAACATAGGTTTCTCCAGTCTTTTCACAACATGTAGGTCACACTTGCGTAACATGTGACACCACAAACATCTATGACATTCAATTCTTAGTTTCCAGTCAACAGACATAAGTATATGCACTTACTGCATTGAGAAAGTAAACCCACCAAATCAGACAATATCCTGTGGAAAATACAAGAATTAAGGAACTAAAGATTGCTTGACTCTCCAAAAAACATTAGGTACACAAACAAAGACCATAAATAAGAACGATCTTACATGTTATAAACAAAATATATGTTAAAAACCACAAACAAAGTCAGTCATGAAAGACAGCTCTGCTTTTGAAAAAAATGCAATATAAAAGGCTCCAATTAGTGCACGATAACTCAGCATCAGAGTTTCAAAAAGTACATTAAAGCTAACTTTTCAACAGCAGGAAAATTGGCTTCCTATATTAAGACTTTTTTCCTAAAAAAAATTTCTTTTCATCAGTATAACTTTTAACCTCTATTAAAGTTTTATAAGCAGTTTTAGGCACTTTCTATAGTCATACTCTGTATTTTATTTATATGTTATTTATCCGTTGCTGTATGTTAAGTCACTTCCAAACACATTTTCACTTTCTGTGAGGAAAACATTTGTAGAACCATGTACATTGAGTGGCTGACACACCTGAGGGCTGTGCTGCCATTCAGAGAGACCTGGACAGGCTGGAGAGTTGGGCGGGGAGAAATTTAATGAAATACAACAAGGGCAAGGGTAGAGTCTTGCATTTGGGTAAGAACAACCCCATGTACCAGTACAAGTTGGGGATTGAACTGTCAGGGAGCAGCACAGGGGAAAGGGACCTGGGGGTCCTGGTGGACAGCAGGATGACCATGAGCCAGCAATGTGCCCTTGTGGCCAAGAAGGCCAATGGCATCCTGGGGTGTATTAGAAGGGGTGCGGTTAGTAGGTCGAGAGAGGTTCTCCTCCCCCTCTACTCTGCCCTGGTGAGGCCGCATCTGGAATATTGTGTCCAGTTCTGGGCCCCTCAGTTCAAGAAGGACAAGGAACTGCTTGAGAGAGTCCAGCGCAGGGCCACAGAGATGATTAAGGGAGTGGAGCATCTCCCTTATGAGGAAAGGCTGAGGGAGCTGGGTCTCTTTAGCTTGGAGAAGAGGAGACTGAGGGGGGACCTCATTAATGTTTATAAATATAAAAAGGCTGACTGTCATGAGGATGGAGCCAGGCTCTTCTCAGTGGCATCCAATGATAGGACAAGGGGAAATGGATATAAGCTGGAACATAGGAGGTTCCGCTTAAACGTGAGGAAGAACTTCTTCCCAGTAAGGGTAACAGAACACTGGAACAGGCTGCCCAGAGAGGTTATGGAGTCTCCTTCTCTGGAGATGTTCAAAACCCACCTGGACGCATTCTGATCTAGGTGGTCCTGCTCCGGCAGGGGGATTGGACTAGATGATCCTTTGAGGTCCCTTCCAATCCCTAACATTCTGTGATTCTGTGATACTGCACAATCTACTAAAGCTGGCGTGTCATTTAAAATTTTTCTCCTTAAAACTTATTTGCAAAAGTCCTTTTATCCATATGGTCCACCAAAGAAAGTATTATTAGAAAAGTCACTTTTCTCTACTTTTGGATGCTGGCCGTTAAAGAAAGCTTTTAAAATAATCAAGACTTGAATAGTAAGATTGCTTATTTTTGTGCACCTGCTTCACTCAAACAATCAGGAAAGCTGATGTAATACCTCATCATTCCAAAGAGTTAATATTATTTCTTAGGATGAAAATTTACCAACACACAGTCTTGATGTTAAATGAACTTTGGAATAGATTGGCAGATTCAGATTAATATGGGAAGTTCTTTTCAGTATCTCAGATTTACACATTTTCAGTTCAGTGTGTGCCTGTGCATGTGAAAGTCCAATGAGAATTTAATTTGATAAACAGAAAATCCATTTCCAATAAAATTTTAGTAGGTATAAAAAATATATTTTAAAAAATCAGATACTAACAATTCCACATGGCAGATAATTGTTTTTAAGAAGTTACTTCGGAAAAGAAACCATAGTTGGACTCAATATATTGACCAGCCTATTGACAAGAAGGCAATACACAGATTGCCAGAAGTCTCTTAATCAGCAATTGAAGCACTGAGAACCAAATTGGCGCAGTATGTATTTCAGAATTGCATGTCAAATGGTACAGAACGGAGAAAATCAATGTAATACCAGAAAGACAGCAGCAAAATTAGATAAGAATAACTACTGAAATGCAGGGACTAGGTATTACTAAGACACAAGATTAATATTAAAGATTAATTGATTGCTCAATGGCCTATGCACCCAAGCCTAACAATATCAATAAAGCAGAGGTGACAGGCATCCTATCTATTCTTACGCAGTATATACAGATGCTGTTTTTATTGCAAGTTTACACATCACTGAGTGGGAAATAAATTCGAAAGTTACATGAGTAGACCACAAACTTATGTCCCTACCTACCGAGAAATCACCCTTTCTAGTAGTTATGTCTTTTTTCCCAACCGCAGCGATCACTTTGGCAGACTCTGTAGCACTCCACTGGACCAATGTTCACATATTTCTACAAAGCAGTACTAATAGAAGGCTAAGAGGGGCTCAAGTTTTATGGCCTGTGGATTATTCCCTTTCCATGCAAAACACACAATAATCTACTGCTGAATGAGCATGTATTAAAAAGAAAAAATTGTGTGTACTATATGTAAGCCACATATAGAATTAACACTAGTAGCATTGCAAAACAAAGCGTTCAAAACCAAGCAGCACCAGACAGAACAAGTATGTGATCAAATGCTACTTTTCCCCCTCAAAATCTCATGGATTATCAATTATGAGATACACAGCCTTAAAACTTTAATACAGTAAGCTTCTCAGTGCTCTGAAGGGTTCTACTGACATACATTCTAGTGCATATGATAGTTAAACACTAAATGTCTGATCTCAACATCTCCATAAATTGTCTGGATGATTTGACATATCCAAAATCTAATTCTCCATACTTCTCTGTATAGTAATAAACAGCAGCTTTGTCTTCAGCTGGAGCTGTTAGTGCTCTGTACTTCAGCAAAAGAAGATCACATTAAGTGTCTAAACTTCATAAACTCTTGAAAACACCTATTAGTAACCAACTATAATATCTTGATTAGATGACTGTTTCTATGTCATTCACCACACAGCAAGTCTGGGAGAGGCTGAGAGCCCTTCTTCTACAGAAGGGCTTATAAGGGTCTTGAGTATCTCAATCATCTTAGGTAGAAATTCAGTCTCAAGCTAGCTGACGTGGTCCTCTTGGAAAAACAGCAGTTCTCCCTTTACATCTCACACTCGTAACTATTGCGCACAGCCAAACAGATCTAGTTGCATTTCACTTTTTGTGTCTTGGTATTTTAAGAAAAGCTAGCATTTCTAGAACATTCAAAAAAACAGCTACCCACGAACCCACCAAACGTGCTTTAAAACCTTCTCTTAGGCCATGACAGCTTGACAGTAGTATGGCACGCATTACAACTCTGTGAAACCCCTTGGCAGCTGGGGAAATCATCCTCACTAGTTGCTCATTATGTTGCTCTGCAAACTAGAGCACTTCCACACAAGCCACTGAGTGGGTGCTACCTTGCAAACATGTAAAAAGTCTTTTCTGAAATCTGAAAAAATTGGAAGCAATTACATGCTCCTAGCCACATTCCCTATCTGACAAGTAAGATGTGTTTTCTAAAATCTTGCACAACCATTATCTACCTTAAAACAACAGAAGACAATATTTAAGTTATGCTTCAATTTTAGGTGGGGTTTTTTGTTTGCTTTGCTTGGATTTTTTTGTAACGGAACTTAACACCATGCCTTCAAAAAATGAAGCTGTAGTAGTGTAGTAGTATTTAGAACCCATCATAGGGCCATATTGTATTTCTGTGTGTCATCAGATGCTAATAAAATAGCTTTTTTAATATTTATTTATTTATCTAAAGGAACATACAGTTATTGGTAAAGTAAGAAAGCATGTGTGAGGATTCAGCTACGGAAATTTGTGATGGAAAACATTGAGAGCTTTTTTTTCTTTTACACTATATTAACATACAACCAAAACTCACCAACTCAGAAACAGCACTACTTCTTCTGAGATTGAAGGCATCATTAACCATTTCACATTGTAAATGAAAATAAGTTACAGCATTATGTTTCAAAGAGGTTGATAAATTTTGACAGTCATGCATTTAAGTTAAATACTCTGTTTCAAAAGCAGATCGGAGAATACAAGGCAGAAATACTTAGATCAGAATTATTTTTGGAGAATGCTGTGATAGAGTCAGGAAAGTCACTGTTCTCATCATTTGGAACACACAGATTCAAATACATTTGAATTCCAGACCTCAGCTAGAATCCAGTACCACATGCAAGTCTAGCATCTTAAGCAGCAAATCAATACAGCTCTTCACACGGAAGGCTAAGGGAGACTAGATCTGCAGTCCCAAATATATTTTCTTTATTTTTTCAGCCTTCTAAAGTATCTTTACTTGAACAGAAAAGAATAGCAAAAAATGGTTAATTCTCTAAATCATAGAATGGTTAGGGTTGGAAGGGACCTCAAAGATCATCTAGTTCCAACCCGCCTGCCATGCGCAGGGACACCTTCCACTGGTTGCTCAAAGCCTCATCCAACCTGGCCTTAAACTCTTCCAGGGATGGGGCACCTACAACTTCTCTGGGCAACATGTTCCACTGCCTCATCACCCTCTGAGTGAAGAATTTCTTCCTTATATCTAATCTAAATCTATCCTCTTTCAGTGTAAAGCCACTGCCCCTTGTCCTGTCACTACACGCCCTTGTAAAAAGTCCCTCTCCAGCTTTCCTGTAGGCCCCCTTTAAGCACTGGAAGGCTGCTATAAGATCACCCCAGAGCCTTCTCTTCTCCAGGTTGAACAGCCCTAACTCTCTCAGCCTGTCTTCAGAGGAGAGGCGCTCCAGCCCTCAGATCATCTTTGTGACCCTCCTCTGGACCCGCTCCAGCAGCTCCATGTCCTTCTTGTGTTGGGGACTCCAGAGCCGAATGCAGTACTGCAGGTGGGGTCTCATGAAAGCAGAGTAGAGGGGATGAATCACTGCCCTTGGCCTGCTGGCCACGCTTCTTTTGATACAGCCCCAA